ATCAATTTATTTGTTAGTATGTTGTGTTCCGATTAATTTGTTAGTATGTTGTTTGGACTTATTTGTTAGTATGTTGTGTTTGGAATAATTTGTTATTATGTTGTGTTCCGATTATTCTTTTGAATGTTGTTTTTCGATTTATTTTTTAGTACGTTGTGTTTCGACTTTTTGTTAGTATGTTGTGTTTCTATCAATTTGTTAATATGGTGTGTTTCGACTAATTTGTTAGTATGCTGTGTTTCAATTGATTTGTTAGTATGTTGTGTTTCAAATTATTTGTTAGTATGTTGTTTTTCGATTTTTTGTTAGTACGTTGCGTTTCGACTTTTAGTTAGTACGCTGTGTTTCGACTTTTTGTTAGTATGTTATGTTTCGACTAATTTGTTAATATGGTGTGTTTCGACTAATTTATTAGTATGTTGTGTTTCAATTTATTTGTTAGTATGTTGTGTTTCAACTTATTTGTTACTATGTTGTGTTTCAACTAATTTGTTTGTATGTTGTGATTTGACTAATGTTAGTATGTTGTGTTTCGACTTATATGTGTGTATTTGGTGGTTCGACTTTATTGTTTATATGTTGTGATTCGGCTAATGTTAGAATGTTGTTTTTCTAGTATTTGCTTGTATGTTGTGTTTAAATTCTTTTGTTGGTATGTTGGTTTTCGACTAATTGGTTTGTATGTTGTGTTTCAACTAATGTATTAGTATGTTGTGTTTCGACTTATTTGTAAGTATGTTGTGTTTCGAATATTTTGTTTGTATGTTGTGTTTCGACTAATTTGTTAGTATGTCGTATTTCAACTAATGTATTGGTATGTTGTGTTTCGACTTATTTGTTAGTATGTTGTGTTTCAACTATATTTTAAGTAATTTTGTGTTGAGGCTAATGTTTGAATATGTTTTCTTTCAATTTATTTGTTAGTATGTTGTGTTCCGATTAATTTGTTTGTATTTTGTGTTTCAACTAATGTATTAGTATGTTGTGTTTCGACTTATTTGTGAGTATGTTGTGTTTCGAATTTTTTGTTTGTATGTTGTGATTCGACTAATGTTAGTATGTTGTGTTTCGATTTATTTTTTTATATGTTGTGTTTCGACTTATTTGTTTGTATGTTATTCGACCTATTTGTTAGTATGTTGCAATTCGTCTTATTTGTTTGTATGTTGTGATTCGACTAATGCTAGTATGTTTGGTTATATCTTGTTTTTCGACTTATTTTTTAGTGTGTTGTGTTTCGATTAATTTGTTAATACATTGTGTTCCAATTATTTGTTTGTATGTTATGTTTCGACTTATTTGTTAGAATGTTGTGTTTCAACTATATTTTTAGTAATTTTGTGTTTCGACTAATTTTTGAATATGTTTTCTTTCAATGTATTTGTTAGTATGTTGTGTTCCGACTAATTTGTTAGTATGTTGTGTTTCGACTAATTTGTTAGTATGTCGTGTTTCAACTAATGTATTAGTATGTTGTGTTTCGACTTATTTGTAATTATGTTGTGTTCCGATTATTTGTTTGAATGTTATGTTTCAATTTATTTGTTAGTATGTTGTGATTCGTCTTAAGTTAGTATGTTGTTTTTCGACTTATTTGTTAGTATGTTGTGTTTCGACTAATTTGTTAATATGGTGTGTTTCGACTTAATTGTTAGTATGTTGTGATTTGACTAATGTTAGTAGTGAGACGAATCTGTAAGAATGGATGTATTGATTGTGAGTAAGTAGTAAATCTAGAGTCTTTAGACAGCTGATACTTTGTTTCTCGTGTATTTAAATTGTGGTTGACCTACTTTCAGGTCAAATATCGGTACACTTAGTTCTAGTCTACTTTACTTGTACATTATGAAACTGGCTCGCTATTTGGTTGTGTAGAAAGAGCTGAGAATGAATAACTGTCCTTGCAAGTAATTGTGTGCAGGTAGCATTTGTGTACGAAATCGTGAAAGAAGGTACAGTTAAATGTGAGATCGTCGACTTGTAAATCAGCTGATTGTTGTTTACGTCTGTGAATCAGCTGCGTCAGATCGGTTACGTCATGGTAAATATTTAAATTTATGCATAAAGATGCTGTATTTATTTAGCAAGCGGTTGCGCTGATTATTTGAGTGAATTGTGTAACTTCTGATTTTTAATTAATTTTCTCCGTATCGGAGTATGAACGCTGGGTTCACTCCCTGAGATCAGGGCTTGACTTTCCCGTTTCATCTCGGTCCCTCTCTCAACATGGCGGATAATGTAAATGTCATGGGAGACCGATTCGGATGTTTATTTGTTCAAATCTCTCACTTCAGATAAAAAAATATTGTTATTTCATTTGAATTATACTGGAAGTGAGATTTATCACATTTTCGATCTATGTTATTGAAATAATTGCCGATATTTGATCAGTGTAATGTAGTACTATATCACGGAGGAAGGTAGTAATGCGGTCATAGTAATTTTGTGCTGTGACCCCAAACGTCTGGGTCATGACTTCCATATTTGGTCATGTTCCTCACAAAATGAGGAATGTTTTTCACACGGTGAGGACCGTAAGAGATAAAAGGGAGCGTGTCACGTTGTCGGCAGTTCTGGCCCGTTGGCATTGGGTGCTCCTGCCGTCCACGTTCGTAGTTTTGGTAGGAAAACTTCAGATAACTCAAAAGTTAGTGTTTTGGCAAGGGGAATAACTAGTACGGACTTAAGTTGGCAGCGGATTTTATACGGTTGAATAAATAGTTCTGGTAAACTTGTTGTACTTGCATAGAATGTTCTTAGTACGCTTGTACACTGTGTATAGTAGCAAGTAATCTGTACTTGTGGTGCAGATATCAATAATTTGATAAATAACTCAGTTCTGGTTCATTGAGATATACTCTGTGAATATTTTCATATCCAAAACCTAAAAGTTATTTGCCTACAACAGTGATACTCTGTGTGGAAGAGGTATTAGGATATTGATTGAATATTTATCAGAATATATATTTAAGACTAATAAGAGCTATATAATAAACGCTTGTATATATATACCTGAGCGTTAATTGCCTACAGAAGAGGGGAATACTCTGTGGAAGAGGTCACTATATACTTGTGTTTATTGGTTTTCTTTATTATTGTTAGTAACTATTCTAAATTCATTGAATTATTCAACTGGATTCGCTGTCTTAAGCCGTAATGTTGCATTTACTTCATTTATTATTTATTATAATTCAGTCTGTTGTTAAAATTATTACCTGGTAGATTCTCTACTGTGAATATTAGTAATCTAAATTAACTTATACTCCTAATTGATAATTTATAACTGAATTATTCCTTATCGAGTTCAGTGGTATACTCAAAATATTGTAACATTGTAATCCTTACAGGGAATCATTTATCTGTAACAGAACACTTTAGTCAGCTGAAATATCAGAGAGGGAATCGTTCTATCTATATCTAGAAGTATGAGTGTGTAAGATTGTATTGCATCCATATTGTATGTAATTATCAACATTTCTTATCATTCATGACTTCTTTGTAAATTATTCTTGTTATTGTTATCATATATTATTAGCGACTAAATTTGTGGACTCAAAACTCATGTATTAAACTTGGTTGAAGGAGGTGGTTTGAAACTACATTAGTATTGGTCATACTGTTCCCACGTGGAACTGGGTGTCTGGCACAGCTACCAAGGATATAAGGAACAGATCAAGAGATCTATACCAGCAGGGACCAGTTCCGTTACAACTGGTGGCAGCGGTGGGATTTGTTGAGTCGGGGTTGGATGCCACTGTTTCCTCCTGCGTTGCGAGATTGGAGAGATACGAAGGAAGAGTCCGTGGAAGGAGGCAGATGGGGATCAAGGCTTACTTATGTGGGAATCATTTGCGGTGCAGCTGATGGGATTTCATTTGCCTCGTTCCGTACTGCTGGACAGTACAAACTTCTTCATGCTACCAGGCAGCCAGACATGCCAAATTAATCAGGGGACAGATCACACGCTGGAGTGGGGACGCTTTGGCTTATACCAGTCTGCGGGATGTGGTCACCTCGGGGAGGGACGAGTTGAGATTGGTGGAGGCTTTGAAGACCGCTGGACGGAACACCGCGTTGGATGCCATAATAAAACAACTCGTGGGAGTCCCTTTACTTCTGAAGTAAATCAATATATTCGTACGCTATGATTTGTATTTTTAGTGCTCAGGGTTCGACTTTTTCGTTTATGTGTTGTGATTCGGCTAATGTTAGAATGTTGTTTTTCTAGTATTTGCTTGTATGTCGTGTTTCGACTGATTTGTTAGTACGTTGTGTTTCGACTTAATTGTTAATATGCTATGTTTCAACTTATTTGTATGTATGTTGTGATTCGACTAATACTACTGTTGAGTTTTGACTAATTTTATTATATGTTGTGTTTCAATTTTTTGTTGGTATGTTGGTTTTCGACTTATTGGTTTGTATGTTGTGTTTCAACTTATGTATTAGTATGTTGTGTTTCGAATTTTTTTGTTTGTATGTTGTGTTTTCACTGATTTGTTAGTATATTGTGTTGCGACTAATTTGTTAATATGTTGTGTTTCGACTTATTTTTTCAGTATGTTGTGTTTCGACTTATTTGTTAAGATGTAATCATGGTATCATCATACCCCAACTCCTTTTCCATTGCAATGATGTCCTGGTGCTTCGACAAATTGTTAATTAACATCACCAACAGATAACAATACTAAACTGAAAAATAAAACTATACAGAAACGACACCCACTTACCTTGTCTGCACTTGTCAAACCACTGACGTCTATCTGCGGCAACGAAGCCTCTTACCTGAGAGGCTTCCTTATATCTGCAGGATTCGGGGTGTCACGAAAATACAGCAAAGAAGAGTACGATATAATGTGGAAAATGTCAAGCAATTAGACGTATTAATAACAGCATCCGGAAGTGCAGTAAAAATACGAAACTAAAGGATAATACAAAAAGCTTACTAAAAAATTCAGAGCTGCAGAATGTCACATGCGCAAGAAGGTTTCCGGTGCGTAATCCGGTGTGAGTATTCTGAACGAGCCATAGGTGATAAACGTTTTCGAAGACGTCCAAACGCAGAGTATAGATAATAAAAGACATTTGGCTGTGTCTAGCTAATAATAATGTCTTCGGGAACGAACAATGCCAACGATCCACGCCGGGCAAATAAAGTAAACAGGTAAAGTATCCAAGTGACGCACCTCGTTCAACAGGTCGGCGGTCACTGTTGAAGTTTGGAAAGAGTTGAAGGGATATGTTGATTGAGATAATGCACTATTGTTACCCTATCATTGCACCTACTCCATTCAGAAGATAAGATACCGTCCCTACTTTATACTTTGACACATTTGCGTAACAATACAAAAACATATTCACCCCTGCCGATTCCAGAGAAAGACATGATCAAGTGTACCCATTCACATTGAAACTACGAATACTACGAATGACACGTACAAATACTCACTAGAATAGCTTTAAAAAACCCTGAGATTAGCACTAGTACAACGCCCAACACTTAAGGGACTCGAGGTACATAAAATGCATTCCGATGAAGCTTGGTAGTGTTTGTTGGATTTTTTCTGTCGAGACCAATGGACAGTTTCTTTTGATGAGCAAATTTTGATGAGTTCGGTTACAGTCAGGAAAGTGGGTTCTCAAAATTTGAGCAATACCAATGGAAAATCATGTGTCCACAACACAAATGATTAGATTTTAAAAATCACTGCAGTGCTCACACAAATCCATTAGCTGAAAATGTACATCCATCTTTTATTTCGATACGTATTGTATAGAGAAGCTTGTAAAATACTTTGCAACAAAATTCAGTAAACATTTTGTATACCAATTAGCTATAGATACAGTTGCAATTGAAACAAGTTTGAAATTTGCTGCACTATGTAAAATGTTTTCTTGACTGTCTTTATAAATCGTTGACTGCATTTTCTGTATATATGTAACCATGAAAACAATATCTGGAAAATCAGTATCCCAAAAACTGGTTGATTATGATATGTGTGAATTTTCAGTAGTACTAATATTAGACCACCAATGAAAACTTGTACCATTTTCCATCAAACAGACATAGTTCCATAAGAAAAGGTCAGAAAAATGATAATTCTTGTATGAAAATATTTTCTATATGTGGCGTGGGCTTTCTTGTGATAAAGGATAGCACATTGGATATTCAGGCAATGTTAAAAATATTATTCACATTCATTTGGTGATTCACTAATCAGGTACAAACCTCCTCAGCCTGGCGGGCCCTCAGATGATCCTACCCCAGATTATATGAACCTCCTTGGCATGATTTTCAGTATGTGTGGACTGATGATGAAGGTATATATAGTTAGCTTTTTCCTGTTTGCTCTTTTATTTAGATTTAATCAATATGGTATTTTGAATTAATCATAGTTTTAAAGTCTTCAACTTGGTTAATATATAAATATTCTGTGATATATAATGGTACCGTATAAGACATTCTGACAATACTCTTATATTTTTCATCAAACTAACATTGGTATTTTGAAGATTCTTCTAAGCCTGATTATGAATATTGCTTATACAGATACCAAATGTATGATAACTGTTCAACAATGCACATTTAGTGTCTTGGAAATCAAAATGTTGAGAAACTAGATATTTCCAGTCATATTGTAGATGCAACTAATGTAAGATATTGAACTACACTTAAAGTCACATCATACTGTGATGTTAAAATAAGATCAATTCATTATGAACCATAACTTTTTTGTATTCTGTATATTGAGCTTTGATTTTGACATGTTTAAACCATTTATGATATGTTTTTTTTTATCTTCAGTTGAAGTGGTGTGCCTGGGCAGCCGTTTATTGTTCCTTTATCAGTTTTGCAAATTCTCGAACATCAGAAGATACGAAACAAATGCTCAGTAGCTTCATGTCAGTATAACAAATAGTCATCATATCCTTTATCAATATGCTTAAACATCTAATAACACTACAGAGATACTTTATGCATGAATATTTTTATTTCACATGCTGTACAGCACATTTATTACTAACAAAGGATGAAATCAGTTTTTGTTAACTTCATATTTGTTGTTTCCAATGGTCAGGCCATCCTTGATACTCCAGGGGTAACAATTGCTACATCCTTGACACTCCAGGGGTAACAATCGCTACTTCCTCGACTCTCCAGGAGTAACAATCACTACATCCTTGACACTCCAGGGGTAACAATCGCTACTTCCTCGAATCTCCAGGAGTAACAATCGCTACATCCTCGACTCTCCAGGGGTTACAATTGCTACATCCTCGACACTCCAGGGGTTATAATCACTACATCCTTGATACTTGAGGGGTTACGATCACTATATCCTTGATACTACAGGGGTTACAATCACTACATTCTCGACACTCCAGGGGTTACGATCACCACATCCTTGACACTCCAGGGGTTACGATCACTACATCCTTGATACTCCAGGGGTTACGGTCACTACATCCTTGATACTCCAGGGGTTACAATCACTACATCCTCGACACTCCTGGGGTTACAATCACTACATCCTTGATACTCCAGGAGTTACAATCACTACATCCTCGACACTCCTAGGGTTACGATCACTACATCCTTGACACTCCAGGGGTTACGATCACTACATCCTTAATACTCCAGGAGTTACGATCACTACATCGCTGATACTCCTGGGGTTACAATTACTACATCCTCAACACTTCAAGGGTTATAATATCACTGCCATAACCATAACTAGTTTTCAGAAGATTAAGATTTTGGCAAATCAAAATTGAAAGCCAGAGAAAGCCTTGTAAACTTCAAAAGGTGTATATCAGCATGTGATTGGTCAGTTTTTTTTCTCCGGAACCAATGAAATTACTTTGCTTGTGCCTTTAATTTTGCCATGACATGTTTCACCGGTACAGTTAGCAAAAGTGATTTAACCCCTGGAGTATTGAGGATGTGGTCAGGCATGAGGTAAAATGTTACTGGATTTGCGTATGTGAAATTTCCTGTAGCGTTGAAATTTCAGCAACTCACTTAGTCTATATAAGCATTGATGTTGCAGCAGACATTTTATAAAATACATATGAAAAAAAGTGATTGGTATGTTTATTTTTCTTTTGCAGGTTATCTATATCAGCTGTAGTAATGTCTTATCTACAGAATCCCCAGCCGATGTCTCCACCCTGGTGAAGGTAGAGTGACAAAGTGGCAAAGGTTCGATGGGAGATAACCAGACTAGGGAAATGAACTTGTGTGAACCGACAGGAAATTATAATACAGTGTAACTTTGTCAGCTGGTTCTAACATTTACATATTCAGGTAATATCTTTGGGATCGTGATGCATATCAAGTTCAATCTAACCTTGAACTCTACACACCATGCCAGATATGATGTGGATCTTTTTTTTAAGCTTTACACATATTACCAGAATTCTTCTGTAACATCTGATAATACAAGTGACATGGTTTCTGGGGGTTGCGAACGAGATAATGGTGTAGCCAGAAATGTTACCTTGCTATTTTCAGGCAGATCCATTTGTATACAAGATTGCTTGTATGAACAGTAAACCTGGAAACTTCTGAATCAGCAAAAAGTTGATGGAACTGGATTTTTAGGTCACCTGAGACAAAGTCTCACATTCATCCGCCTTCATGCACCTGTAAATAATTTAACATTTTCTACCTTTTCTCAGAAACCCCTAATCTACTGTCAATTAAATTTTGCAGAAACCTTCCCCAGTCTTAGATGAACCAAAATTGTGAATTATATAGTCCCCACTCACTAGAGGCCTGAGAGGCGGGGCCAAAAGGGGTCAAATTGACTTGGATTTCAAAAATCTTCTTCTCAACACCCAGATACAGTAGAATCAAATACTCTTTATGAGTGCAAGCGTTTTAGAGTGCTTTAACAAAATTGTGAATTTCATGGCCCCAGGGTCTCGCATATCCCCATGGGGAGGGGGTACAGTTGACTATAGTTTATATAGAAAAACTAATTTTTTGAGCATATTTCAGACTTCGTTAGAATTATGAGTGAAGGGTGACAGCTTGATGGTATGCCCATTTTGATCCTGACTGACCCACAAGGGCTGATGGGGGGCCAAAAGGGGTCAAATTGCATTTTTGAGCTTAACGCTGATTATTTCCCACTGGAAATAACTTTATAAGAAATAACAGTATAGGATAACAGTTTTGATGGTATGCATATATTGATGCTGGCTTCCTATATTCATTGTCACAATTTCTGTTTCATAACACTTAATAACTATCCTTTAACCTTTATATTCAATATTGCTTATCTCAGGTGACCATCAAGACCGCTAGACCTCTTGCAATTTTTAAAAAGTTGCACAAGTGTGTATTAAAATGTGTATGATTATCATCATGTGAATATGTAGTTGTTTATTTTGTACATATTTATAAATGAAATGTCATGAAATAAATTTCTATTTGGGAAGTTTTGCTTTCATTTATTTAGACTTCCAAATTCATAGGCACCAGGACACATTTGATTGATCCTTCTATTTGATATCTTTGTGGTACACAGGATGCGAAGGCCTGGCTTCAGTTCCGTGTATTCTGGGAACATTTTTCAGCTTGAAATGATTGTATTTCTCAGAATGTTTCCTCATCTTCAATCCTGTACAAAATCTGTGGTGTAACCTTATAGCCAAATTTGACATCTGCATGGCTAGATGTCATAAAACGGTGACCATTTCTGATTTCCCTTTATACAAGGTCATGGTAAAACACTCTTCTTTGAAAACATATATTCTTAAAAAGGGGTTATCCTTGACAGCTGACACAAGTCCTGCGTCTGTAAACAAATTCAACACTTTCAACTTCTTCCCAAAAACCTGATCCACTTTCAATGAGATTTTGCAGAAACATTCCCTGACCCAAGATGAACCAAAATTGTGATTTATACAGTCCCCAACCCCAAGGGGTCAAATTGACTTGGATTTCAAAACTCTTCCTCAAGACCCAGGTATGGTAGAATCAAATACTCTTCATGAATGGAAGCATCTTAGGTGCTTTACCAAAACTGTGAATTTCATGGCCCCAGGGTCTCGCATATCCCCATCAGGAGTAGGTACAGTTTACTATAATTAATATAGGAAAACTTGATTTTTGAGCATAACTTATGTAATTTCCATTGGAAATACTTCAGACTTGGTTAGAATTATGCGTGAAGGATTGCGGCTTGATGGTATGCCTATTTTTTATTCTGACTGACTCCTAGAGAGTGGGGGGAGGTGTCAAATTCACTTAAATTTCAAAAAATCTTCTCAACACCCAGATATAGTAGAATCAAAGCTCTTCATGAATAGAAGAATCAGATGGTTCTTTAATTACCAAAATGAGTCTCACACTTCTTCCTGGGGAAGAAGATTTTTTAAACTTTACTGTTATTTTCATAATGTTTTTTTTTTTTCCCCACTGGAAATAACTTTACAAGAATTATTAGTATAGGTTGACAGTTTTGATGGAATGCATGTATTAATACTGTCTATATTCAGTGCCACAATTTCTGTTTCATGACACTTGATCACCATCTTTTATCCTTTATATTCATTATTGCTTATTGGCGACTGTCAAGGCTGCTAGGCCTCTTGTCTTTTTAAGTATGAAAGAAAAATAATCAATCCTGGGTCTGATTTCTCAGCCTTCATGCAAGAGTTTGGTTTGCTAGTCCTGGGTTGGCCTCATGCTGACCAGCCAAACTCATTCACTCAGATTGGGATGTTCCTGTCCACAGGATAGACCTGTGTAAGAGCATATACATAACAGATACCAAGTTCAGATTTGTGTAAAGAGTAAAATACAAACCAATGATAAGGTTTATACAAAGGGAGCTAATGACATGAACATTTACTCTTTAAATAATGTTTATTTCTTTAACATGATTTAAACAGTAGATCTATGTTCACTCAAAAATTAAAATGTTTTCAACAAAATATGTAACCAATCAATAATCAAGGTAAGTACTATGTAATATAGTCTATTGGCCTTCATGTGAAAATAAAACTGTTAGTGAGTGAAAATGATAAATCAAAAAGTTGAAATTTTTAAAAACAGGTAACCTGGGGCATAAAGCTTACACCTCCCCTTAACCTTGGACAATATTCATACAACAAAATGACAATTTCTATCAAAGATTCTGACAGTTGTTGGTCTAAAAGCCTGATAAAATATTTGTTTTCATCCTTTTTGGAATACAGTTATTATGTGAATATCCATGTTTAATTTGAAATTTGGATGCAGAAAGGATGAAAAAACTGGCAAGGTATAGCCATAATGGGTGTTAGGAGTCTGTTAGATATGATTACTACTGGGCTTGGCTGTGATCATGATGTGGCAACTAGTTCTCTGGCTGTGATCATGATGTGACAACTAGTTCTCTGACTGTGATCATGATGTGACAACTAGTTCTCTGGCTGTGATCATGATGTGTCAACTAGCTCTCTGACTGTGATCATGATGTAGCAACTAGCTCTCTGGATGTGATCATGATGTAGCAACTAGCTCTCTGGCTGTAATCATGATGTAGCAACTAGTTCTCTGGATGTGATCATGATGTGACAAGTACTCTAGTTTTGATCATGATGTGACAACGAGTTCTCTGGCTGTGATCATGATGTGACAACTAGCCCTCTGACTGTGATCATGATGTAGCAACTAGTTCTCTGGATGTGATCATGATGTAGCAACTAGTTCTCTGGCTGTGATCATGATGTAGCAACTAGTTCTCTGGATGTGATCATGATGTGACAACAAGTACTCTAGTTTTGATCATGATGTAATAACTAGTTCTTTTGCTGTGATCATGATGTGGCAACAAGTACTCTAGTTTTGATCATGATGTAATAACTAGTTCTTTTGCTGTGATCATGATGTGACAACAAGTACTCTAGTTTTGATCATGATGTGACAACTAGTTCTCTGGCTGTGATCATGATGTAGCAACTAGTTCTCTGGATGTGATCATGATGTGACAACTAGTTCTCTGACTGTGAACATGATGTGACAACTAGTTCTCTGGCTGTGAACATGATGTGACAACTAGTTCTCTGGCTGTGGTCACTAATAGACAGACTGTAATTCTACTATTAAAGGTTTGTTCATATCAAAACCAATGAACAGTAGATCTTCAGAATTAAGTAATCACTCAACTTGTAGAGTCTAAAATACTTGTGATATGCACAGTTGTTGTTATCCATTGGATTCATATTTACAACAAAACATGTTACTCCCAACCAAACATTCATTGCTGCCAATATGACCGCTCCTTGTCAGGTAATGAATAATGGTTCACTAATTCGAACGTTTACTTTTTGTCTTAATATATCTGAAGAAATAGCCATATTTAAAAAAAAAGTATCTATACATCTGATATACGTTCAGACAGGAATATGGTCAAACATGATTGATCGAAGTACCCGTCAACACTGGTTTCAGGTATACAACCACATGTACTTAAATCAGGCATAAAATTAGATACATGCTTTTAACATTTTCATAAATTAAAGGAAAATAAATTTATTACAGGGTGGTATGCAATGTAACATATTAGTATATGTATGTAATTAACATGTATATATATAAAAAATTGTTTTTTTTCTAAAATGTGTCGGAGGATAACACTCAACTTTTATAGAAGCACAACTTATATATGAAAATGATGATAAAAACCAACTGAAAAACAAATCTAAATCATTTAAAAATATACTTAATACTTTGTACTCAGTTCTCCCAGTTTAATTTAAATCTTACATATTTAACTATCTTATCATTTGTTAAAGATCATTTATAGAATTGCAACTCTTTCTTACATACCAAGTTATAGAAAGTAGGTGATTTTGAAGAAAGCATGGTAAGTATCATTATCATATCTAACCTAAATCTCCTAGGAGTTCATCAAATAAAATTACAGATGCTACAAACTTTTTCTACAAAAATGGTAACTTCATCAAACATTTCTGTATTGAAAAAAAGGGCCTATCGGTCTTAACCGTCATTTGACTACAAAAACTTTCAGCAGGGAGCAACGTTATATTTTCTACTTTGAATGAAATCTTACTAAGAGGCTGTTTTTCCTGATATAGACGGTAGATTTGGTGAGGAGTAGGTAAATGTAACAAGTGTTACTTATTTGTCGACAGTAAAGTTGGAGATCAATCCAACTGGTAAAACTTGAGAAATTTGAAATATGTGTTGCTCAGGAAAACCATGATTGCACAATCATGTTACAAAATGGCCTCCCTGGCTGCCGTGTCCAAGTTTCGACAAGGTAAAAAAATAACAACACTTTGTTGGCTACCTGTCCTTAACATTCCCCCCAAATTATAACTCAGCGGCCTCATTGGTACCAGTGGAACTGTGGAACCAGTGCATACTCGAAAAATAATAATACTTGGTCAGGACTCTCTCAGGATCATTTCATGCAAGTTTGAGCTTAATCCCATTGGTGGAACTTCAAAAGAAGTTTGCAATGTCAAAAGTTTATACACGATGCACGGCACATTACAACTGACAAAGCTCAATGTCTACAAAAGGGTGTGTTGCTTTTAACAAGATCTTAAATACTGAAATTGATTTCAAAAAGAAACTTCATTATCTATTCTCCTGCTCTCAGAAAAATTATTTACAAAAAATGAATAATCTTTACAAATATCAGTCTGTGAATTCTTTATCTAAAACACAACATGCACAACATTGAGGGAAAAAATCCAATATTGTAAATGTACTTATTTCAGTGCAATAAAATTCTTTTGCTTACTGTAAATTTTGATCAAATAAGCACAATGAAAATTCATGATTTTGCAATAATTGTTATATTGACAACATACACAAGAAATCCTAGAAGGATCTTGACATCCACCATTGTTTGACCTCTATTTGCTCATTGAAAGTTGGATCTTTTCTCTTCTCTGTTTTTGCTCTTAATGATAAGACATTTGAACAATCCTCTGCAGAAATAGCGAGACTAAAGGGAACACATGTATGACATTTGAGAGATATCCATTCAGTACTTCTTCAGAGACCGAGATAACAATCTTTACTAGGTGAAAACAACATGGCTCCCTTTCAGTCATTTCGTTTTTTTTTATCAGTCCCAAACTCAAACAGGCACAACTAGGGATCAAAAGAAACCTACACATGAAATTTGAGAAATATGTATACAGTTGTTGTCAAGAAATAGTGATAAAAACCTTTTAAAGTCAAATCAAAGATAGCTAACGTGGGCCATTTTCTTTTTTTCTGATCATTGCCAAAATCAAACAGGAACAACTATGGATCAAGGGAAACATACAAATGAAATTTCAAAAAGATCTATATTTATTCATTAAGGATATAAAACATGTTTAGCCAACGGCTAATCTTCCACATGGTCCTCTCTAGGTGATTTTATCAAGACTTTAAGTTTCAAAATGCATAATAATTTTTTTTTCTAAGTCCCATATAAAACTTGGGTCATACATATGAATACTGCTATGATGATTGCTGTGTAAAGACTAAACATTGTCATTGGTATAAAAATCTAGGGTCTCAATTAAGAAGTGAACTATTGGGTAGAGCCAACGTTATCTAGTATAATGTAACATTAATTTTTGGCCTAGCTTGTGTTCATTTCCAAAACTTTAGTTTTAAGATGCTGGCATACCAGTGTATTGTTGAAAAAAATAAAATCCAGATTTTGAGGTGTTCAGTACTACTACCATAGACATTGGGCCCGAATTATTGTGCTTCATTGTTACTAATGGCAAAAAGTAGCCTGGTCTAATGATACTCAAGTTGTTAAAGTGAGTCTTGACATCATGAAACATAACAAATATCACACAAAAAATATCACAGTGCTAAGGCAACAGTCATCAAGATCCAAACTCGGTAGTGTCAGAGGTGATCCTTTTATACTCATAAGCACCACGCCCATCCATCTTCAGATAATACTGTAACAAACGTTTTACCAGGATATATCAAAAGTTTTATCTACAAAGAATCAAACATGTATATTAACATGTCCAGTATGAATGCAACAAAAATCAAAGTACTGAAAGTGTTGTAAACACAAATTTAGTTAGTGTCATAACTACTGTTGATTCAGGTGGCTCTACTACAGATCTCTGTAATACTGAATTAACTGTATAATTTATCTTTAAAACCAGCATTACATTAGGTGAATACTTCCATCCTTACAGAAACACAATTAACATTAAAATTTCATGATTTCAAACATTTTCTAAGACATGTCATGTTATTAGTATGTCTTACCTCATGGTGCTTCCACAAAGATTTTCTGTGTGACACTGTGAATAGTGAAATCTGAACCTGAAAAACAAAAAACAAAGATCCACAATTTGGTGACTGTATACACAATAGTATACTTCACAATCTTGTTAATACATACACCATCAAGGGCCTTTAATACTTACTTACAAACATACAGTCAAAACTCGTTATCTCGAAATTCAAGGGACCGTGAAAAATATTTCGACCTATCTATATTTTGACCCAAATGAAGTGTACAAATAAGGGTAAAGATATCAGTTTCCTGATGTTTATTATGGTTGAATGAAGTAGAGCTGCAATAGCATGCAAACAATGTAGTTTAATCTTAAATTTGAAATGGCAGAAAATAAACAAATTTATCCTACTTTCTCCTTCTATTGTTTATTCATCCAAATAACAAAACGTGTAATAACAACTCCAATCAAATGCATTTGTACTCACATTATTCCGTCCCACACACGTGCACAATACCCTGATTGACCAAGTACATATACATCATATATATTTTATGGAATGACATAAAACCAAATCAAAATTCGCTTTTGATACGCTACAAGAAACAATGTGCGAAGCTACAGATCATATCAATATGACTTTATTGTGAATAAATAAACATATGAAAAACACGGCACAAGAAAGGTTTTACCTGTTACAGAAAACATTGTACAAGCACTAGACTTAAAACTCGTGCACAGATATAGACTCTATCAATGAAAAATACTTTTAGCACTTCAATGCTTAATCTGACATAGTGCCCAATCACAGTCATTAGTTAACAACCTCAAAATTAGCTTCTTTTGGATATGTGGGGATCAGATTTCGTCAAAAAGTTTGTACTGGTTTGATGGTTTTATTTTTATCCTTCCTGAAGATGCACACAAACAAGCTAAATGTTTTCATGTTTTGTGTAAACGCGCTACTTTTTTTAATGTACAAGTAAGTCACTGCTACAGGATGGTGACACTAATTTAGAAGCCAACCTTTAATTGGATAATTAAACTGGTAATTAGTCGTCAGAGACCAAGTGTTGTGTGTACAGTGGACCAATACACCGTAATTAGCCATGTGTTACACACAGGTGAATTTCTACTCTTTGTATGCATTGACTGATTTTGTCAGAAGACATGCCGATTGTAATATCCTATCTATGTCCATATACAATCCGGAAATAATGTCCGGTATTCATCTGTCCTACTCTTGTAACCGGAAGTTAGGTTCGAGATTATAATAAACAAGAGGCCCAAGGGGCCTTAACGGTCACCTGGGGAATATATGTCAATAATCTGGGGATTTTAAAATGTTGCAAAAATGTAACAACACTTGTGCAGGACCGCATGTAAAATATCTGTACCAAGTTTGAACATGATCCACCCAGTGGTTCTTGAGAGGAAGTCCAAAATGTCTTAGCCAAACAGAGGTCAGGGTTGCACATTTATATAAAGCAAATCATGTTTTCGTTTACAAGTTGAAATATAGCTTAGTTAGCACAGTTAATATCACATTGCCATTCGACACAGCTAAGAAAACGTGTATCCAGAGAACAAGAGAAATATGAGTTTGGACGAAGTTGTTGAACTAGGGAGGTCGATGGATGCTGCTGATAAATACTCAGCACAGATTGAAAAAGATTTAGCCACCGGTTTCGCCAAAGGCGTGGACACCAAGAAAACTGCTCGCAAACATGACCAAGCATGGAAACAGGAAAAGGATGGCCAAAGAAACAGACACAGGCGAGAGAAGGCAGGAAACCTAATAGCATTGTGAAAGACAGAAACACCTGTTTCAAATGTGGGAGAGAATGGCCACACAAAAATCAGTGCCCTGCACAAGGAAATCCGTGTCATTCATGTGGAAAAAAAAACACTTCGAAAAAGTGTCTTTCATAAAACAAAAAGGTAAACATGTGAAGGAAGTACGTGTAAATTACGACACAGCCAGCAGTGAAGACAGCAACGACTACTGCTATAGTGTAAATAAACAACAGCAAAAGGGAATGTATCTAAGACACCAAAACTCTGCGTCAAGGGGAACGACATCCTATCAGAAGTTTTAATAGATATCTATAAACATCATCGATCAAACAACATACAAGCACATTGGTTTCCTAAGGTCAAAAGAGACAAAGGTCCCAGACTTCTTCCCTACGGTGGTGGAAACCCGCTTAAGACACTTGAAACTCTAAAAATAAAAATAAAAACAAAATCCAAATATAGCGTACACACATTTCATCTTGTCGAACGCACCTATGGTTCACTTATTGGATTTCTGTCTGTGACAGAACTAGAATTGGTCAAATCATCAACAAAATAACTGACCACCAGAGAAAAACCCTGTTCGATGGAGTTAGGAAGTTAAAAAACAAAACCGTAAAAGTACACATTGACAAAACTGTGAAACCTGTCGTGCTTAGACACATGCGCGGCAGAAATAAAGCACGTGGTTGATGAAGACATCAATGAACGCATCAAAAGCACATTGACACCGTGGATCTCCCCTATATTTAACCCCACCGAAGAAGGGAGGAACAGAAATAAGGCTGTGTGTTGATATGCGGGAACCCAACAGAGCTATTAAAAGGGAATGTAATGTAAATCCAACACTTAATGAATTGATGAATTGATGAACGATCTAAATTGTGCAAAAGTGTTCTGCAAGCTTGATCTTACATCAGGTTATCACCAGTTGATGAAGACATCAATGAACGCATCAAAGGCACATTGACACCGTGGATCTCCCCTATATTTAACCCCACCGAAGAAGGGAGGAACAGAAATAAGGCTGTGTGTTGATATGCGGGAACCCAACAAAGCTATTAAAAGGGAATGTAATGTAAATCCAACACTTAATGAATTGATGAATTGATGAACGATCTAAATTGTGCAAAAGTGTTCTGCAAGCTTGATCTTACATCAGGTTATCACCAGTTAGCGTTATACGAAGAGTCACGACACATAACTACATCCAGTAAGCATATTGGAATCTTCAGATTCAAACGTTTAAATTTTGGCATTTCTTCAGCATCAGAAGTCTTTCAAGAGGCGATTTGAGGAGTAATCCAGCACTTGAAAGGAGCAAAAAACAAGAAAAAAGTGTGAATTTAATAAACAGACAATATCCTTCTTTGGAGTTGTGTTTGGACCTGATGGGATGTCATGACCTCACAGACGTGGAAAGCAGATACCAGACTATTCCACGATATGTGAACCAAATAGGAGGCTTACCCACAAACAAACAGTCTGTGAATGGACGAAAGAACATGAGAGTGCATTCACTCAACACTTGGTGTTGTTTAGATGGAGCAGGTCTTGGTGCAGTGTTACACTATCAGACAAAATGGTGGTCTACGCGAGCCATGACCTCACAGACGTGGAAAGCAGATACAGTCAAACTGAGCGAGAAGCACTTGGTGTTGTTTGGGCACGTGAGCATCTGAATGCTTACGTATGTGGAGCACCTAAATTTACAGTAACAACAGACAAGCCCCTGGAAAAAATTTGGACAAAACCTAACCCAACTCTACAAATCGAAAGATGGGGGCATCGTCTACAGTCGTATAAAATGAAAGTAAAATACAGACCTAGTGAAGAAAATACAGCTGACTACCTCTCACGACATCCACATGAAGGAAAAGTCTGTTGTAGTCACGAGGAAAAGGTTGCTGAATATCATGTTAACTTCATAGCTGAAACATCCATCCCCAAGGCAATGACAATAGATGAAATAAAAGCAGCAACTGTGAAAGACGAGACACTCATGAAAGCAATCAAGCTGACCAGGAACAGTCAATGATGGTACACTATCAAAGATCTCTCTGAAGTGACTGACATTGATGTAGTGAAACCAAGTCCACTGAGAAGTGTACACGATGAACTTACCGTTCACACTGACAATGTCTTGTTACGAGGATCTAGAATAGTTATACCCAGTGAATTAAGAGACAGAGCTGTCAAAATAGCGCATGAGGGACACCAAGGGATAACCAAAACAAAATTGTTTATCCGGTCGAAAATTTGGTTTTCAAACATTAATGAAGAAGTGGAAAAGGCTATAGAGAAATATGTAGCATGTCAAGCTACTTCAAAAAAGCCAAACTACGCGAACCACTTAAGATGAGTCCTTTACCTTCCGGATCATGGCAAAGACCTAGCGCCGACTTGTGCAGACCTCTCCCTTCAGGAGATTACCGTCGACGAATACTCCAGGTACCCAGTAGTAGAAACTTTCAAAAGTGTCTCGTCAATCACAACAATTCCTGTTCTGGACAAAGAGGTCAGCATGTTTGATATCCCCAAAGGTATAAAAACAGATAACGGTAGTCCATTCAACTCCAGCCAGTTTGCAAAATATGCAGAGAACATTGGATTTGATCACCGAAAGATCACTCCTTGTTGGCCTAGAGTGAATGCCCAAGCAGAAGTATTCAACAAACCACTGATGAAATTAATTAAAGCCTCTCACCTGAAACATAAAAATTGGAAACAGGAAATGTAAAAATGCTGCATAGGTTGATCTTTTCCAGAGAGTCAAGCACCAAGTTACTCGAAATTCCACATACCAAATGTAAGCCTGAGAATGTGGAGGTTGAGGGAATCTTGCACAACGACAGCTTGGGGAAGTCAAAAATGAAATCACTGGAAGATATGAGGAACAGATCATCACACTCGCCCAAGAAGGAGGTGGGAGACATATAATACTAGAGACTGAGGTGAAAGGAAAATTGACCCAGAAATATGACCCCAATCCATACCAGGTGGTCGAAAGTAAAGGATCAATGATAACTGTACAAAGAAAAGACCGTAAAGTAACCAGGAACTCTTCATGTTTCAAAAAGGTCAAGTTTGATGTTCAAGACCACAGTATTTCTGATCCTTATATTGATGATGACTATAATGAGATTTATCATGATCAGACGGAAGTTCCAAATACTTCACTCACAGAAATGGTGGAGACCAAAACAAAAAATGTACCTTGGAGGTCAGGGAGGCTACGGTCAAAGCCTGCATTCCTTAAAGACATTGTGCAAAGCTAAATGTGACATC